TACACACACACACACACACACACAGTCAAACCACGGTTTTCGAACCTCTTTGTTCTCGACCAAATCGGTTTTCGACCAAAAATTTCGGGTTTTTATGCCTCGGATTACGACCGAAAATCGGTTCTCGACCAAACTAAGCACACTTGAATGCGCCACTCGACTCCTCTCGGCTTCCTTACACGAGGAAGTGACGCTTCCTCGGGTAAACGAGGAAGTGACGCTTCCTCGTTTAGCATTGCATTGTGAGCAGACATGTTCAATAAAGATTTTTTAAAAAAGAGCGTCCAGTGTGAGCGGACGTGTTCAATAAATATTTTTTTTTTAAAAGCATCATTTTTGTTGACATCTGCCTAAATCGGACTGTTATATCTTCATTGTGTATCAACCCCTAATCATGGCACCAAAGAAAGCAAGCGGAAGTATAAAGCTGGTGAAAAAAAGAGGAAAATATCGCGCAAAACTATTGAATTTAAGAAAGATTTGATCGGGAAATATGAATCAAGTGTACGTGTGTCTGTGTTGGCTAAGGAGTTCGGCATGCCGAAATCGATGATCAGCAGCATCCTAAAAAAGAAAGACCATCTTAAAGTCACTGATGTTGCTAAAGGATTTCGTGTGTTCAGAAAACAAAGGCCACAAATATTAGAGGAAGTGGAGGCACTTTTGCTTATTTTCATAAATGAGAAACAGCTCGCAGGGGACAGTCTTAGCCAAGATACGATTTGTGGCAAAACAAGATAATTGTATGGAGTTTTGATAAAAAAGGATCCTAGAATTGCTCCTGAAGAGTTTGATTTTAAAGCAAGCAGAGGATGGTTCGAAAAGTTGAGGAAAATAAATGATTTATCATGTCGAGGCAGCCAGTTCAGACAAGGAAGCTGCCGAAAAGTTTAAAGTTGAGTTTGAAAATCTCATCAAGGCCGATGAATATCTTCCCCAGCAAACTTTTAATTTGGACGGGACTGGACTTGTGTGGATAAAGCGGTTCAGAAAATGGATGGAGGGATGGTACCTCGCACTGTAGCGTAGGGTTGCAGAGAGAGACCATAGTTCCAGCCATTACTTTAGGGTTTATTCGTTCAAGGTGTAAAATAATCATCTACAATTGTCACGATGAGAGAGAGAGAGATGTTACTTGAATTTTTATGTTACAATGTTAATGTTTATGTAAAAAGTGGTAAAAAATAAAACATACAAAATGTTTGTAGAGTATTTTACATATTACCTGCTCTCTTATTACATCTGTATTCAGTTTCTGGTGTAAAATAGTCCAAAACTTAAACTGATTAAAATGTATTACATTGATTATAATGGGAAACATGGTTTCGGTTTTGGAACAAATCGGTTTTCGAACAGCCTTCTGGAACGGATTATGTTCGAAAACCGAGGTATGCCTATAAAGAGAGAGAGAGAGAGAGAGAGAGAGAGCACACACTCGCACACTCCCCTTATTTTCCACACTATATGGCGCTCCTAAAAGCATTCAATTTTCTCAAGAGCCAACAATGCGCCTTATAATATGATGCGCCTTATAAATGGATCAATATACTGATTTCTTGGACATAGTATTTTCAATGTTCTGTAAAGTGCTTTTTTTCAGCTGCAGCTGTTGGGAAAGCTCTATATCAGGGGTGCCCATTACGTCGATCGCGATCGACCGGTAGCTCGCGGACTGGTCCCAAGTCGATCGCGAGGGGTAGAGAGGAAATAAAAAACAAACAACAACTTGTGTGTCTCTGGGCATGTTAGTAATATATTTTTGTGTTAATGCACCCTGCATCCTAATCATCCTATCAGTCTCACTTTCACAAAAAATATTTCAAAAATAAAATTAAAAAACAGGTCACTTTTAACCTACGGTAGCGCGTTACTTGCATCACCGGAAGTTGTTAGCACTTAACAGTCTGAAATTGCAGCTTACGATCAGAGCTGTTGCGATATGCCGAATTGGCCCGAATATAAGACGGTGTTTTTTGCATTGAAATAAGACTGAAAAAGTGGGGGTTGTCTTATATTCGGGGTCTAGACATTATACCCATTCACGACGTTAGATGGCGGCAGATATCATTGAAGCGAATGCTGAACTTGACTTCCCAGGCCAAAATGAACCCCTGCCATGAAGAATAAAAATAAAAATAGCGGTAACACGAAGAAGAAAAACAAAAAATAGCGGTAACAAGGAAAAGAGAAGAAAATAATAGAAGAGATAACAGCAAATGGAGAAACGAAGTGACAATCTGGAGAAAGGTGGGTCGATGATCAGGCAGGTTAACTGGCCAGTGAGGAGAAGTTATGATGTAATTTACATTTCAAAAACCAGAAGCCATTCATTTACGAATGTGATTGCACTTTAGATTTGAATGAGGCAAAATAACATGCTCTTTCTCTCAAATGTATTGTTATAATCATTTGTTTCAGATGTACTGTAATTATTTTCTGTATAAAAATTAATTTGGTGTTCAAAAAGTCTTTTTTCAAACTTGAGTCTTGAAAAAGAGGGGGTCGTCTTATAATCAGGGCCATCTTGTATTCGGGCCAATATGGTAGCTTATAATATTATTAGCAGGCAAAGTGTATTTCGTGGACAATTCACCAATGGCATTTGCAAAGAATGGCAATCTGGAGGGCCGAAAGGAGCATTTTAAAACAGTATGCGTGAGCTACGATAATTAACAGGCTGCAAAAGTGCGTTGCATGCCTCCGCATCAGGTCTCCCACTAAGCAAGGCAGTGATTTCCTTTTACCCTCCGTGCCTTGTGAGAAGCTTTCTTGTCTTGATATCGGTAGCTTTCATCTCTTCCAGGGGCTAGGGAAGTATGCCAGCGGGTATCTGATTACTGGCAAGGCAGAGGTGCTAATGGTTTGGATCTCATCTTGCCATTCAACTGACTTCAGGATATCTCTCTCTCTCTCTCTCTCTCTCTCTCTCTCTCTCTCTCTCTCTCTCTCTCTCTCTCTCTCTGTCTTTCTCTATCTCTCTCTCGCACACGCACTCTCTCATTTCTCTCCCTCTCGTCTCTCTCTCTGCCTCTCGTATCTCTTTCTCTTGCTCTCTCTCCCGCACATGCTCTCCTTCGCTCTCTCTCTCTCTCTCTCTCTCTCTCTCTCTCTCTCTCTCTCTCCCCACCACTCTCTCTCCCCTCGCTCTCCCCAGTC